CTTCGGTCCATTCAACGCAAGGTAGTTGTTTAACCCACAATAATCCGCGATAACCCTACACGTTTTGACCGGCACTGGACTGCTGTTCGTTTTTTTGTTTAGAGGTACCCGTAGTGCGAAATTCTAGCACGCAAAATATAAGGGAAACGCCGAAGTGTTGCGTTCTTCGCACGGGAGACCCAAGCACGGCAAAAGCTATTCGCAGACCCCTAGGCCGGTGAGTTATCATGTGGTACAAGCACGAACATAACCAATTACGTGAATGAGTCACGCGATTCGGATATCACTTGCCGCTAGTGCAGAGTTCTGATACCCGCACGGAGGTTTATTTTTCAAACTCTGACCGGGACAGAAAATAAAACTGAGTGAAGTTGAGTTCCCCAAAGAATGAAACAGTTGTTTAATTTTTCAGCAAATTACACACGTGCGTCAAACAGTAAGCGAGAAATATCCATTTACTCACAAACTGGACATAAAAAGGCGTATCCGTATACCTACAATTGAAACCATATTGAAAAGGGTTAATTTTTAGCACAGTGTGAGTCGAAAAACGGACGTATGGCGTTTGTGCATTTTTCAATACATGGAGATCATTTGACTTGATATAACCTCCAGGAAAAGCCGTCTCCAATTGACTACCCACTCTTTCAAACCTTCGAACGCGCACAACTAAGGTTCAGGACAGCCGAAAAAGAAAATATCCAATAAACGCGTCGTAGTCAACATTTTCGCTTATTATGAAAAGCTACGTTTCGAAAGTTGCCACAATCAAGAAAAATGTTGGGCGTTTTCGCATGTCCCGTTTACGTGAAATGGGTAATACGTCGATAAGTTTGAAACGTTGATTGGCATTCTACACTGAACAAACATGTTGAAATTTTCTTGATATTTTCACAAGTAATTTCTAGGTCAAATTAAAATCTACTGATCACGATCACCAACTGGCATATTACTGAAGCTTACGCCTCAATGTAGAAAAAAGCACTACGTATCACTAGCGGTCTGTGCCTTTCCTCCAGTTGCACTGCAAAATAAGTCTTCCGATGTGAAAGTGCACAACATATGCAGATACTCAACTTGCTATCGGTCATCATGGTAACAGAATGAAAAATCTGGTAAATATCAGACAACTCAATTGATTTTACACCTAAGTGGTTGGAACGTCCTAACGGTATTCTGAAGTATTTAGGAAAAGCAACTGGCAATGGAACTATATCGCATTACTTCTTTTTCCCGTTTCGCGAGCATTTGATGAAGGTAAGTGCACGAATTTCAAAGCACTATAAAACAAGTTGTTGACGTCATATTTGCCATAGCCTTCATGAACCGTAATTGTGAGATTTTCACTAACCACAGTGGGAATGGAAGCCAGTCATTAACGTCACCAAAATCTCTCAAATTTTAGCGATATGAGCTATGCGGCACATCTATCTCGTATTTTGACTATTTTCCTCCCTAAAATTCACAACCTGGGCCTCCTGTTGGTCAAAAGCTAACTCGTAAGGTATCAGAGTGATGGGTGAAAGTCGCATTCAATTGGAGACGTGTACCCAGTTCGGGGGATCACACAATTCGGACCCAGTTGAACGTCAAAGGTGCTCGAAGAAATTTAGATGCAGACTCAAGGCGATGACCACTTCCACAAGTATAGAGTAGTGTGTGTAATACACACCCCTTCTGGGTTGGTTTACAATCAGGTTTTGTAGCCAGTTTCGCCAGGTAAACTGCCAATGATTGTTCCACCAGGTTATATTAACATCTTGTTCTCTTACTTTGGTGGGCGAACACAATGAGTAGGGCCTCATAGGCACAGACCATGGGGACCTGAGACATTTAGATCATCGATGTGCGTTTAGACATGAAATACTATTCGAATTCGAGCAATTTCTCACCAGAGCCACTGATAGATTCCTTAAACCAAGTTTCTTCTTATCCAAGCAACCCATATGACATACCAATGTGGACGTTTTCCGTCTAGTATACGACAAAAACTTGGATCGTATTTGGAAGCGGATCACGTTTGCCATATCCCCAGGTTGATACCATCATGCACGTAATAGCCCACACGTACACAAAACCCCCATTTGCTTATGTGATAAGCGCATGTGGAAGTAGTTTGACCCAGATAGTCCAGTGACCTCAATTTTGTCTCCATAAAATGATAGTCTCATCTGCAGGTATAATTGTGTCAGGCACATGAATCTCACACTGCGGTATCCTTCACGTAATTCCAAGAAAGCTACGGCCGTCATGGTTATGCAGTTCACACACAAAAATTTCATTGTGTGAAGTGCTTCATCCCGTATCGTTTGCTCAAAACTTATCACACTGCATTTGATATGCTGGTTCTCCTTTAACAGTTTTACCATGATCGAGAGAGGACACCGTGTGTGATGTTACCATTGTGAATAATATGCTCAAACACTGAGGTAAAATAAACCAGCACGTATGAAGTCTACGGGATCGTTAAATTCCAGGGAAGGACGTATAATAAGTTTAGAAGCAAAAGGTCGAATCCAACGGTAGGCGAGCCGATTGCATTAGCAACTTTGGAGAAGAAACGCAATGGTGACAGTTCGCGACTTGTGTCTTCTTTCGGTCTCGATTGGTAAAGAATTAACCAGACCACTTCTATCTGTTTGCAATCTTCATTATAAAAAAAACATTCGAAAAATTGCACAACATTCTTAGAAGTTTGGTAATTTTTCATTCACAAAGACATCATTTATTCATGGCCAGCAGTGAAACCATTCACGTATCCTGAACACCACACATGAGATTCATAAGGTTGGACCGTATGCTTTATTCAATTTCCACATATCAAATACTCTCAGTGTCATAGCTCTTAACGTAGTTACTATCCGACAATTTCTATATATTTAATATATTCAGCTGTGAAGCCCCTTCGAATATTAACATTCATAATAAGTAGTATGTAGGTGACTCGACACAGTTTCCCTGGAAGCACACGACAGGATTTTTGCGGTTCGTACCGCTCGTTAGGCATGCGTATCCGATAATCTTTTGTCAGTTCATTAATATACTTGTACCCAGGAAGTATATTTTCATTACAATAACTTCATTTGAAACACCGGGTAATTTTGGATGGTCAGCTCTCTCAGAGGTGGGCTGTTGAGGAGTCAGTATTTTGATTCGATATTTTGAAGGTGGTTAAGATGCTACTAACCGAAAAAACGTGACTTAAGCAGCTTTATAGAATATTTCATAATAAGTAGTATATGAATTATTCGACACAAGTTCCCTGGCCGATTTCGCGGTTCTTGACACACGTCAGGGGTGCATTTCTAGTAGTCTTTTGTTATTTCGTTTCGTATACGTACTAATACATATGTTAGCATGTGTGCCTTTGTGCGTATAAAGAGTGGTTGAGCATAATATGATTTTGAAATTAGAAAATTAATATCGTCGATTGTTTCGGTTATATTTCTTCCTAATATAGAATTTGCAATGATCACATAATTGTTTTTTCAATTCATCGAATCATAAACACGGCTCGGGATGTGGCTGAGGGGTCGTCCGTGAGACCTTTAGCATCAGCTTGAAATGTTTTGGGGGGTACATAGTAAGGGTTATGCAGACGAACAATTGGTATCCTGATCGTTGACCACGAAACCTACATTTTAGGCGAAATGTTACGGTATGATCTTCTTTAGTTTACTAACTAGCGAACCAAATGTTCTGGTACCATCTGCGCAAAAAACGAGTGTGATCATTGAAAATCGTATATCCGATACCGTATTGAAATTAACCCCAAATACGCCATCATGTTAATCTTACCTGTGCAAAATAGTTTAACATTAGCCTTTGGATATATATTAAAATGTGTTGGCATGATTAAGAGTCACCAAAAAACATGATCATAAATCCACATACTCGAAGAGACCGGTTGTTTTATATCGTGTATTTTTTCAAAAAGAGAAGCAGTCTGATCAGCTTCCCGACTTCTCAGTGGGTAGTATGCCTGCGTTCTACCAGTAAGGTCCTGGGTTAGATCCCCAGCTGGGTAGATTGGTTCGCACTGCTGATGAGATCCAACCAGGTGGAAACAGTTGTTCAGTGCCTCACAACTTTACATCTCACACCTCATTCACACAACGAATTCATCGTACAATATGTATTCCATTAGTCACCTGTTGTGAACAAGAATAAAAACAGAATAAGCTTCGGTTACAGATTTTCAGAATTTATGGATGAGTAATTTTAATCGGCGTTACCTATTGATCAAACGAAGTATTCACAGTGGAAGTGCCAAAGGTGTACGAACTGGTCGTCCAATGAGAACCGTGAATGATATTTTTCATCTCAAAAAGTCCTGTTGTTCTCACCTCGCTTAATTTGAAATCCCGAAGTGAATTCATTTCAGGTAAGTTGCATGTTATTGCAAAATTAATGTTTAAGTTGTATCTCATACTAATGTCGCCGGAGAAGTGTTTTACGTTGAGTTTAACCTTAACGGAAAAGATGCATTTTTTTCGCTGTCACATACTTTTTAATTACTTCCGTTGACGTTAGAAATCCGTGCAGAAAGATGAACACGAACATTTGTTTTTGAGCAATCACGTGTCTTTACGCACACGCACACCCACGCACACGTGCCATCAGATGCAAGCGCGCACACACACCGATGACCGGTTAGAATAGTAACGCGTCGTCCTAAGGGAGATATGCTGATTGCGCTCATGTAAACTTCAACCAATCACAGAGTGAGCCATTAGGACTGTTGTTAGTGGGCAATATTTAAACAACGTTGGCAGCATTGAGTCATTCTGTCAACTTCGCTGTGTCCATATAGCACAGGGTGTGCATCCCCAGTCTACTACACTTTTCTTAAATCATTCGAGGAGGATTTTGTCATTTTGCTTGGAGAAATGGGCAATCATTCTGAATTTTGAGACGGTCACATGAACGCCCTTATAGCAAAACCAGACCGGTGATCTTGGATCAAATCTGTTTCCTCATCTTCAGATGCAAATATAGTCATGGATGGTCTGTCAAATAAGATCTCACCGCTGTTCAACAAATTGCTTGCCAACCCTGTGATTGAGAGGGTTATTGGTAAAGATGAGTCTGTTAGTCCGGTCCCCTCCAGTCCCAGTGAGAACTTACAGCATTCTGCTACTGCGGAGAGCGGACCATTGTCTGGTCAACTTTGGGATGTCTCTTCTCGGCAAGCACAGAGCAGATATCGTAAGTGACGAAATAATCTGTTCTCTGCTTTTATACACAATCCATTTGAAACATCATGAGGGCTGTATGCTATACTACCATTTAAAGGTGGAATAGTTTTGGTAGGGCTATCATCGACACGCAAAGGAATTTGTTCATTAAAATGCGATGCTCGAAACAAGTGGTAGGTATGTTGCTGCTCCGAATGGTAGCAGTTTCAATGAGCTACAACGGATGTAACTCCTCAGTAGAAAACTTAGTTGTCGGTAGACTTGTTCTTATTTAAGCCATATATCTGAAATAGTTTCATTGCGAGGCTTATACTCGCATAAGGCTTATTCCACGACACTATCCATACTAGATGCTGGGTATCGAACGTTTTGCTCGGGTATGTGTTTCGGTGTTTGACAACTGGTTAGGAGTTCGCGTACCATTAGAGACGTTGCACGTGGAGGATGACCTCGAACAAGAATAAAACAGCTGTAAGGAGCTATTAGCAGTAGTAGTTGTAATAGTAGTAGCCGAGTTTTACACAGATTAGCCAGCATTAGACTATGTTCTTACATAACCTGATATGAATGGATTGATTTGGTTTTCTTCCATCCGCACGATCAGATCTCACGACATTTGGTGTTTACCATCAAATTATTATTACAAACAGGTTAAGCGCTCCTCCGGATACTATATGTGATTGAGCAGAAATGACGAGTCACGAGATCATTAAGTCAAACGGAAAATCAAACGTGTGCAAGCCGGTAATATATCACGCAATATTTGCCCTCTTTTCCTCTTCACCCACTGACACGAAAAAGTGAAAAATGAGAGCCTTACTATGTTTTATCGCACCAAATAAATGAATCATACAGGACATAATCTGCTCACCTAAACATGCATACACACTTTCAGGCATCCTCAAACACGTTAGGCATGATTAGCACGACTTCAGATCCGGTCACCGGAAGCCCACTGTGAGAGTAGCTTATGTCAAATTCGGAACGCGTTATGAATACAGCTATTTCTGAGTAGTCGATGGAATATGTAAAGGATGTAACAGATAAGAATGCCTCAGATACGAGTCAGTAACAAACTCGTATATCGAAATATGACATGTATTTGTATTTTTTGCGCATCGGATTAACTTCCGATATGACTAAGGTAAATTGAATACGAATCACATCGATCACTAAGAACGTCCACCGGTAGGAAGGATGAAATATTGATAGGGATTTGATCATGGATTCCTTCTGTCACAGAATATGAAACAAAAACTTGGCATAACTTTGTGACGAAACTCTTGGATGGATTTATTCTTGGTGTCAGTAATTTGCTGCAGACTAGGATGGTTTCACAACAGACATTGATCACTCTTTAGTAGCATGAACTGTTTTGGATAATGGGTAGTCTTTCTGTACATTTTTTACTTTCAAACTTGTCCAGCCAAATAACGCTTCCGTGTGTATTACCAGTGGGTCTGTCATAATCTCGCTATTTCTTGTAACATTAATTAGAGAATCTGAAACGTCGAATCATGTCACAAACAGATACGCAAAGGATAAAAAAATAAACTTAGAGAAACTAGTTTTGTGATTCGTGATGCTGCCAAAGACAGAATGTATCTTTCCTTTGAAATTTTCTGAACCCTTTTTAATTTATTCTAACCAATGAAAACAACCCCACTGATTAAATTTACGTGTGCATTTTAGCAAACTTTTAACATTCCAACTATAAAGAGTTTAGAAAAAGCATGTTCTCTAATTGGTAGATATAAGCTCAATGAACATGACATATATAATCGTATGTTATCGGGGAAAACTGGTAGAATTAGGCATTTTCAATACGTTATCTATCTGGAAAGGAAAATAGAATGTCTATAAACGTGTCACGAACAAATAGCCCGGAGAAAGATATGCATTTCATTTTTTTGTGGCGATATGGGAATTTCCAGTTCCCTCAATTTTAACGACAAGTAAAACAAGGTGAATGTACATATGTTGAGTATGAGATGGTTATGGGGCACATTTGATCTTCATTTTTAGTGTTCGATAAGCAGTAGATTATTACGTTACCGTTACTCCTGAGTTACCGAAGCTAACTTTGTTAACCTTCAGCCTCATGGTGCCGATTCCATATTTTAAAGCCAGTGCTTTAATATTCATCCCGGTTTTGGATGGCATGATTGTGAGAACTGATATATCGAAATGTGTATACTTTTATAACGAAGGCTAGAACAAACATTTTCATGTAGATTATTCTACTCATCCTAGTAGCTGTTAAATTATTGAACACCTATAATTCGTTATAGTCCTGAGACGTCTTTGTCACATAAACGTAATCCAAAACCTCCGCTCTGTCGGTAAAATACACACATATGTGCATATCATAGTCTGTTCAAGTGCTGACAGCATATCCGGCAACTGGTTGCTCCTCTGAAAGCCCCTCAACAATGTTTGACCAAGGGATCAAATCGAAACATAATAAGTCACCAACTTCACAATATCCAGTTGGGTAACTCCGGATCAGAGAACAGCCATAAACAGTTCCGCTGACTGAGCTGAGTAATATACTAAAGATTTAGTAAAGTAGGAAACATAATCGAAATTAAATTGTTGAGAATTTTACAAATCCATGAGTCATACAAGAGAGAAAAGAATTAGTTTACCAATAACGGTAGAAACACGTAACTAAAAACGTGGCATGACATAATGCAGTGAATTGAGTTTCAGTTACTCCCGGCGGTTTTATGAAGTCCACAATTATGATTTCTCACAATGAACATGAATTATGCTTTGGTTTTAATTTTACAAGTAAATGGTTGCACATTATCCGCTATCATTCAAATAAACCCAAAGTTGTGGTTCACTAATTCACGAACAATTGAATACTAAAATTAAACCTTGCGTTGTCGTGATAAACGGCTTCTCAATTGGTTTATCGCTTATTTTTACACAAAGGGTTATCAGGTATCCTGGTGAAATTGCGTCGGTCACTACTTTGTCGACACGGAAGTTGAATATTTTTTAGATTCCACTCCCACCACACTGATTTTTATCACTTACCGGTTCTTGGGGAGCATTTAATCAGCCGCACGTTCATCTTTAAACTTTTACTTTTGCCTGTTTCAAATCCTTTGAATTCTTTTTTTGAATTTGCCAGTGTACAACTCTTATAAAGGAAGTAAGGCAGCAGCCATTAAGCCACTGCCTGGGGCGGGGGAAAATATAGAAGGAAGAAGGAAGGTGCTGGTAGTGTGGTGGTAGTGAAGTTGAACACAGTTTGCAGTGAAATTGGGTGGGATCTTAACCGCTTACACAGTATTGTCCACATATGAAAAATCAGAGGCAATAAATAGAATTGTCAGTGTTATTTATTATTATTATTATTTTAAGAAATTATTTTATGCGTTTTATTGGTGGATATTTGAATTATTCTTATATTTCCCGAAGCATACGCGCTGATGTTTAGTAATCTCCGTCTGTCTGGTTTCATTTATTTATTTTTCGTTTTTACTTCCTTCTTCATGAATATACAAAGATAAAATTTTTCACTAAGAGGGAAGATCCCAATCAATGGACTACCATAGAACACAAAACGGGGATTACAGACTGCAGGGGGAGGTTAAAATCCCGTCCTACTGGGTGATAGTTTGGTGATGTCATCACCGGGCCTCCACCACCCAGATATTTCTGTTTTGTTTAGCAAGTGAAAATTTACAAAGATGTGATTTTGAAGTGCGCTTGATTGAACTAAAATCGGGGTTCAACTTGATTTTATAAGATCACATAAAAAATTATATTTTACGGTAGATTCCCAGACATGTAACACAATGTAGTTGAAGTGTTATAAGTAATATTATTCATTTATTCGCTGCATAAATGGGCACCTTAACAATGTTGACGAGTTTTCGACGGCATAGTTTTTTCATGAGATACTAACTTGACAACTGAATTTAATATTTGTGAATATTGAACATTCCCAGGAAATCAGCATGTTACCGTTACGCCTCACTCAAAATCAGAGTGGTCCGAAAATATTACTTTCAAGACATACAGTCGGCTGAGTTCTTGATCTGCACCGGTAAATGTCTGACTTTTAACCTGGATAGAACATACAAATCAAAAGTAAGATTGTCATTTGTTAGCAAAAGTTTTCGTGTATGTATCGGCAATTTTCGTTGACTTATCCCACACGAGTAATACTCCAATGATTCAAAATGGATTTGCTTCTACCAGATGCTTTTGTTCGTCGGATTCATTCATCAATTGCGGGTTCATCACACGAACTCATGTGACTTTGAGCTATGGGATTAACACTACCCAATGGTATTCACAGCGTGCATAAAAGCCCTAAGCGATTCAGTATACAACAGATTAATCAAATTTTCTTATCCCGTACCACCACAGTGGCCTGCACACAAACGAATAAGTGGTTGAAAAAATCGAACAACTATTGTTAGTGGGACATCGAATGGTGAGTATAACAGTCCATTGTTCGGTAACTGGTTTGTGTCAGTTGCATTTCTTCCCTATTTCTGAAGGCTAGTCTTTCATGGGTAGCAGTTTGCCAATGGACTATTCAATAAACATTATTTGGAGTTCGAAATATTTGTTTTCTGCTACAAAACCGAACATACATATGAAAGCAAGTCGCATTCATACCAGATTTGGTCACTTCAAAGCAACGCGGCGCTATAGCTCATAGAACGATGTGTCGTTACTGGTTATCCAATTCTTACCGGTCTATGCATAGAAAGCAAATCTCCTTGAAGTGAGAAATTCACACATTTGAATACTATGTATGCGGTCGATGTTGTTGATACACTGAGATCCGATATCTTCCTTTGCAGGTTGTGGAACTAAATCACATGTTTTGCCTAATCATGAGCTATTTTAAATCAAATTTTGGAAACGTAGAACAAACAAACATCTTTACGAGGAAATATGCATTAGGATAACTGTAATTGTGGTTCAAAGAGCTTTGTGTGCCAAATTTATAGTGTGTTCAGTCTGTTCAACTTACCAAATTCGAATGTGCATCTGGACGATAGACTTCACGCCGAAAGACTGATGTGCTCCCCTTCAACAACTGGTTGTTCACTGCGTATGACAACTTAATCGAAACGAAGAATTTTAAACACTAATTCTTTAAATTTTAATCACAAGGTTGTTCTCACACACGACTTGAGATATACTGATATTTAGGCTGTCTAATTCGAAAAACAGTTACAGTTGAGTGTTAGTAATCGAACTTGAAAAACGCAGTAACTGATGTTTTCACTGCCATTTACTAGCAGTCTTGTTTTCTCCTCAAAAATACTTAGTTATTACATTGTTATAGACCTAAGCTACTTACTTTATTGAAATTAACCAACAATTTTATTCAACAGTCCAATAATGTGTGCATTCAAGAAAATGATAAGGTTAAAATAAAGGTTGCATTATCCGGTGAAATGTTTCGTGTAAAGGAGCTTGTGGGCTGTAGTGGGCATTCGTTGACTTAGCTGGGATTCAAACCTGAGATCTCAAAGGTTGAAATGCAAATAGACTGCCGTGTATAACACCAGGCAGCTTATCAGGGAGCCGTTCGCTTTTGCTATACACCTATTGTTTTCATGAGATTTGTGAGTTAAACGTTTAATTCAAGTAGTTTAGTTTTATTTTATGCATTGCCCCTCTACGTACTGTCAAAATTTGGTCACATAAATCTGTCATATCCAACAAGAAAACACCACTTAGCGTCAGTTATTTCGAACTTATTTTTGTTGTATTCAAACAGCGGTGGTTTGCCAGGCTCAAACGGATTTTGGTTGATTAGAATCCGTTCAATTATTCCAGAACGACTGCATAAAATCAACACCATTAATAAGTGTACTAATAGTAATGTAGGACAACAGGCCTTTTTTCGAAAATTGGACCCCACCAATTTGTTTCCAGTGGTTTATAATTACTTATGATGGGTAAGCTAGATTATCAGTAGCTTTACCTTTCTTTCCATATGCAGTGATGAATCGAGGAAAAACGGAACGGTTTCAAACGTTATTATTGATTGAGCATCCCTCTGCAGATGAAAAGCGAGGTAAATTGGGGATTGTGAGCAACAGGAATAACACGCGTTCGTCCATGTGCGATATATGTCAGCATGCAACAAATGAGTAAACTTAGGAATAAATTTACAAAGACCTTCTAAAGATAAGCTCTGGTAAAGGTAATCAACATGGTATCAATTTAGAAGACCTGAGTCAACGAAATTACTGATGGCTTCAAAAAATACTGAGGTTGTTTGTTTGTTTCCATTTGCCTAAAAAAACGGGAATGCTAATCATTTCATTTGACAGGAATGGAAACCGGGAGAATTGTTTGACAAGCAAAAGGCTGCTCATTTATAGGGTTGAGCTTAATATTCATCACTGCTTGGACTTGGTAACGACTACATAAATCACTGTTGTCTACTTTATTTTGACGCAAATGGAGCGAAAATATGTTGTAGGTTGTTGATGTGGTGAATATCTATCGGTGAGTAGTTCTAATAAATTTGACTGTGATTTATTTTGAAGAGTATAAAACATTCCAGTTACTTTAAGATTATTTACGCAAATCTCCGCCAGTAATAATTTTTTAATAATTTTTATTTGACGGTATTTGATTATGAGTTTGATAAGTTTATTCGGATTACAATAAACAACCTCTGAAAGATTTTCGACCATTGGGCTTAATCCCGTTGCTACGTCACATCGAGGAGAACGGTTTTGCATATGGCTTCATTTTACATGAACATTGTGATTCTGAAATTCGGTCTAAACACATATTATACAACACCTGATGTGTTATTATGTCATAGGAAACCCGTTAATTCAACAACGAAATACCACAGATTCTATGTTTTAGGTGGTGACTCAAAACCACCACCGAATTAAACGTATGCTTGTTCTCTTTACCCGGGAAGATCTATCGACACAGAGCTGTACTAGTACAATTTTTCGAACATTTTTGATTCGTGGCGTTTTAAATCTCAACATGAATTAATTGCAGTCGTAATTTTTGGAGTAGACAAGAGTGGCACGATTATGTTGAGTTTATGATAGAATACATTATTCTTGTTCTGTTAGTACATATGAAGTGATATTATTGTTATTTCTTCTTAGGGATTGACGAGCAATGAACATAATTTATGGCTGATTTCACGTTGGCTAGTAGCTTATCTTTCCAGCTACTGGTGACTGGATGATACAACTGATATATCAGTAATCTGAATAAGAACCGCCCAAATGAGGTAACAGAATGCTGTGTTTTAGCTTTATGATTTGGTATCGTCGCTCATTGGGCTAAACGTGTCTTGACTTCCCAACACATTTCTCACCATCTCACCAGTTCAAGCGCGTCAACTTGGACGACTTGATCCGGCACTGTATGTGAGTGAGGAAACAGAAGACTTGTACGAAATAACTCCCGGACATCTGGGTCGAATTTGGTTTACTGTGACTTATTCCAAATCCAATGAGCTTTTGAAAGTGACAGTGCATAAGGCACGAAATCTACGTCAGCTGTCACTTTCATCCGGCGCAAGTGTTGGAGGGGTGGAACATGCAATGACAGCTAATGATGACTCCACACTGCAAGATTTTCGGATAAAGTAAGTTAATGTTCGTCTACTGTTGCACAACATTTAGTCGAAACTTGTTTAATTAGAGGGTAAGCTGTAGGACTGTCGTCTGCATCTCTATAAAATGTGTTTTGGATCACCTATTCCGAGACTGAGAAACTTATCAGTGTATCGTAACAGACGTTGGTGAACCATTGTCCCTTTGAAAGCTTCTGTTGCAAGAACGCGTGCCAAAGCTAGGAACGCATTTGTGGTCTCCGAGAAGGTTATATCAGTAACATTCAGCCACACGATTATTTAGGACGTGCTATCTTCCATACACTAGAGGAAGTTAGCTTGCGGCTATGGTAAAAGTTTGGATTACATTTCGGTAGCTTTTGTATGATCTGTTGAACAGGTTTATAATGCTTTTTTGGTGAATTTCAAAAGTGCCGGTTTGTTAACTAAAATTCACATAGCAGTGATTTCCCAAACGTTTTACACTTTAATTCACGGTATGATACAAGGAGAAGAATGTAACTGTAATCTGAAGCGGTTGAATTTTATTCAGTCCACGTATATGGCGAAAAAAATCAGAAACCTGCTGAACGGGTAGAAATGAGAGAATGCAGTATTATAGAGTTGTCTGTTTTGTGCGTCATATGCCTAGAAGCGGTGTTCCTGTGACCTTAAGGAAAGGAAATAGGGGGGTGAGATGAACAATATTCTTAGAAAAACAATGACTTGATTTACAAAATCTGTTTAATAAATGTCCTATTATGAGCTACATTATTAGATCTGGCGGACTAAATGATATGAAAATCTTCTCAACGAAAACCAGCAGTCAATATTCTATCATCAGAAACAACTTACAATTTTGAAATATTAGATGATGAACTCTACGAGTAAATGAGGTGTGAGCTGTAAAGCTAGGAAACACTAGATAGCCGTTCTGATCTGATTGGGTCTGATCAGCAACGTGAATCCATCGTTCCAACCGGGGATCTAGCTGGGAACCTTACTGGTAGGACGCAAGGATACTACTCAATAGACCTCCAGTTGGGTCGGTGGATTCGCGCTTCTGGTGGGACCCAACCATGTCAAAATGGCTGTCCAGTGCTTCCTAGCTTTTCAGTTCTCAACCATATATACGACGAGTTCATGATATAATCAAATCTAATCCTCCATTTCGCTGAATTGGAATACGTTGTTCTGTTTGAGTATAGCTCTGTGAATTATGAAGATCTAGCTATTATTTGTTCCGATAGTTCCGTCTTCTTAGCTACTGAAGCTAAGGAGATGGGAATATCCGGGGCTCACCAAATCGAAAAATGGATTCAGTAAGTTTGTGCTGCTCTATTATCCCCATTGTGTACATTTTGTGTATTTCCAATAATTCTATCTTCATTTGTTGAACAGGATATTTATCGACCAGGCTGAGAAAAAGTATCACACAACATCCATTAAAAAGCAAACAATAAATCCCAATTTCAACGAGCAATTCTGTTTTCAGGTAGGTATATCACGTGAATATTGCGTTGCATTCGTTTTGGTCCTTAGCTTCGCCCATTTTTCTCTACTCACTGTATCACTTATATTGTGTAACTGCAAATGCTAGCAGCAAAAATATGAGCATTCATTTGTACATGATTTGTAGGTGGTTGCCGCGAAATGAAACGGAGAATTTTGACGTGGATTCGTTAAATTTCATGACAGTTNAAATTGTCTAAGAACTATTGCGAATGAATGATGTTTAGTGACGTGCAACAACTATGAACCTAAATGGGATCAGGAATTTAGGTTTCGCTATGTTATACGAGCACCTTGATTTTTGGTTAGTTGAAACGTAAAGTTGAATAAAAATTAGTTTGATTTCATGCGGATATATGTTTCGTATGCGACGAATTAATTTCTATTAAACAATTGCCTTTTCAACCAAAACCCCGGTTTTTGAACTAGTCAAAATCTCAGGGGAAATTAAAATATGGACTTTTGTACTCGTGTGCTCTATTCATGTGACAACCTTATGACCACATTTCCCCGAACCCCATTTGTTTTGGCTTATTTAAATCTGTTTAGTTCACTTTTACGTTCATATGGACCTTTAGTTCTATGAGTGTGTCAAGGTTAGATTTGACAGTTCTTTACAGGAGAACATTACAACACACGGCTGGTAGAAAGTAAGGTTCCGTAAATTACACTTCTTTTCCATCTACACCGGATACGTGTATTTTTGGAATTGTAGGCCTGATGTGAAACTGGAAAAAGACGAGCGGTTCAGAGTCTAAATAGGAACATTGTAGCTGCATTTTTTTTAAAGTTTTATTTCCTGTTGTTTGATGCATAAGGATACAATTTTCAAGAGCGAGAAAGCAGTCAACCAAAGAGCTGCCGTGCAACACATGAAGGTGAAAGACAGGCAGTGGTGGAATTTGCGCACGGGGTGATAATTTTGTAAGGTAGACCTTGTAACCAAATTGGAGGTCAATCGTCTTCTTGAAATTATCCACATCACGAGTGCAGGTGGTCTCGATGGTCTAGCTTAGTCTATGCTCAAATATGGCACTGGTTTTCTCACGGAGATGTTTGCATCTGTTATTGATAAATGCATTTACACATGTTTATTCGCTGATTCCTCGAGACCGTTTATTGTTATTCCCATCTGTACATCATCTTCAAGAATAATTTTATTTGAACAGGTTTGTCCCATTGTCATCAATTTATCTGAACTTAAACAAGTAGAGCGTGCTATTCCCACGTGCTTGCAGTCGGGTGTAAATGTTCCCAGTGACCTCCTTCAGTTTACGTATAAGCCAAACAGATGTCCTTCGGATGCTGTCTCTTCAATGATGCACTTTATTTGAAAAACTTCCGATGATTTCAAAAAATCTTTTTTTACGTTGTCGTTGATTATCCTGCCGCCTTTGAATCCGTGCGACGATATCTTCTTCTCTGAAAGTTACAGTCAGTCGGTTGCCCCTCCACTTCATTGTCGTGGTTTAAGGACTATTTTACAGTAAGGATTCCAAGAAATTTTGGATACGACAATATATCAAAACTGCTAGTGAATAGCTCTGGAGTCCACCAGAATGCTATGCTTTATCCGCAAATATTTACAACATTCATCAGTGACCTGTCGCCTGTCCCACCAGCAAATAACTTCAGTATGCTGATGATGTAGTTTATTGCAAGCCATTTCAAACCGATCTGACAGAATCATTTTCTGGCAGTTTATTACGAGTACAATCATTTTCGAACCAATGCGGTATCGGGTTGAATACTTTCAGATGCTTTGAATACATTTTTAGGCTTTCCTGATCCAAATATCCCCTGAAATCCTCAATTATCAAACCTGTACCCATTATTATCTATTACCTAAGAGTTTCTATAGAGGGAAATCTACCCTGGTTCACTCATTTGATAGCCTGTGCTGGTAGACTGCGTCGCTAATCCTTCCTGATATATATATTTCATAATAAGTAGTATGTGAATGACTGGACAAAATTTCCTGGAAGCACACGACAGGTTTTGCGGTTCTTTCAGCTCGTCAGGCATGCGTATCTTTTGCCAGTTCAGTCATATACTTGTACCCAGGAAGTGTATTTTCGTCACAATAACCTTGTTTTTAACACCGGGTACCCATTGGATAGACAGCTCCTTCCGAACAAGTCCAATGAAGAATCAATGCTATGATTCATTTACTTATTATGAAATACTCTACCAAGACCATTAAGTCACGTTTGTTGCGGTTAGTAGCATCTAACTCACTTACAAAACATCGAATCATAGCATTGATTCTTCATTGGACTGGCTCGGAAAGAGNCGAATGTATATATATATATATATATATATATATTGTAAAGGTTACTGTAGATCTGCTGAAACCTAGCCAATTCAGACTAATCCTCACAAATAGGGACGTTTGATAGGATAACGGTGAGAATGAGATACTTAATAAGTGAAACAGAATATTAGATATTCTGTTGAACGCACACACAGGAAAATCTTTATGATCTACGATTAATCCTAAAAATAGCCAAGATCTTGAAAATTTATTTAAAAACAAATAATTGAATTACCGCATGCAGTGTAGATTTAGTTTATTGACGTCCACCAAGAATTGACAGCCTATAATGTGCTGTACTCAGAACAGTATGTAACCACCTATGCCCGGATTCAAATTACACTGAACCTATATTATAGAAACTGCCGGCGAATCCTTCCCGAAAAAGGCAGAGGTGTGTGGGTCCTGAGTTCAGTGATGCGTTGACCCTTAGTAGCGACTACACTCATGCGCAAACTGCTTAGTACTAGTGTTGTAGTTCCAGAAGATGGTGCTGGTCGATGATAGTCGTTTATTGAGGATTACAGCTGGGACATCACTAATTTGGCATATAAAACACAGAACACGCATTATAAACATACCATCGCAGTTATTGACCGCACAACGGCTAATAAATGTGGCAATCAATAAGTATTTTGTAAGACTCATAAATTTCTCTTCGCTAATCTGGTTAATGTTTGATCATTGAAATAAATCCCCAACAATGTTACCTACTGCTCATAGTTGAGTAGTAATTCACAACACTCCACCCCCGTCGAAAATGAACTCTGCTGGCAGTGGGCAAAGAGTTATTTTTTCAGAGATTTCGAACGGACCGGTTTTGGTTAACATATTCTTGTGGTTTCCTGATTTATTTGTGGTGACCCGACCAGTAGTTTGATTTATGATGACTCTTTGGAATACGGCTACGGTTCCGGCGGCATCCATCGTGTTCATATTGATACACACATCTGTCGGCACTGATCTCCTGACCTCCCTGTTCATTGAAGTCTTCTTCATCCGTATTATACATGAACTTTGCCATCTTGGGAGTAAATTTGCTGCTCCAGCGTCACCAACGCGACCTTCGACATGGTGCTTGTGCTCTGCTTCCAGCACTTTCGGAATTGCACTTGTTTTCCGCTTCACCGACATTCTTACCTTCCTTATCGCTTTGTTTTGCGATCTGGCAAAATTTTACGTGTCCGTTGTGTTCTTGATAAAGAAAGTTCAATTTGCTGCACTATCAACTTGTGCCTCGTGTTCGCCAGCTGTCCTCACTACCGTACTGATTCAGTTGGCTGAGGTTCCGCCATATAAACAGCAGCACATGTGTTGGACAAACATGGCTCCTCCATCACCATTTGGGTCTGGACTGAAAAACGTCCAGCCGTTTCGGAAGGGGCCTTATCTGTAGACACCGACTTGAACGAAATCACGGGTTCTCACACGGACCATTTACGCTGTTTTAGGGCAATTTTTCTTCCAGCACTCTGGCTCTTCGTGCTCACGATTCCACTTCCCGACATATCTCCGTCCGTAAGCGGTTCGAATGACCGTCACATCCTTGGTTAATTCCTTGAGAGTTGCCATAATTCCTGTGGGCTGGCGTCTATGGCCTTCGGTTGAATGGATAGGAGTGAATTATTTTCCAAATGAATTCCCTCAGAACATCCGCCAGTTTAAATACATTCATGGTCTTCTCCACATTAATTATCCATGCCGTCTCGCGGAAATCTCCCAGAATGCTCTCCATAACACGGCCGAGCAATAATTTCGAATGCGCGGCATAATCAACAAAATGCGAAGGACCAGGGCATGCGAGGGGGTCCACGCCAACTCCAAGCTGCACCGTCCTGAAACTCCGCAACGCCCACTGGTGGTCGGTCGGAGTGTCGAAACACGTGATCAGGGTACCTTTCGCGGCGGCCAACTGCACTCTCTCCGGTCCTCTTCGCGCCGTATCCAACACCGCCCGCACCGGGCCCATGAGGAGCTCTCGGAAGACCATCAACTTACCCTGGTTCGACCGTTTTCCCGCCAGCTCAGCGACGTCCTCGAACTCCTCCAGGAAGGTCCGCGAGTTTCCATCCTCGTAGACTTCAGGCCACGGCACTTTCATTGCGATGCTGGCGACGGCACGAATTAATGTAATTCCAGAGGGTAGTGCTGGCCGAGGATAGTCGTTCATTGAGGATTACGGATGAAACATCACTAGGTTGGCATATATGACACAGAAATCTTATCGCAAACATACCATCATAGTTATTGGCCGAAAAACGGCCACTAAATGTAACAAACGACAATTAGTTTTTAAGACGCAGGTATTTACCCTCGGTGATCCTGTTAATTTTTGACTCTTGAAATAAATCATTAAGAATGTCACCTACTACTCATAGATGAGTAGTATCGCACAACACTTGTAGATACAACATGAGTACCTGAGTATATTTAGATAACAAAATTTGATGTGCAAAGGTGCACGTTACGAACTTGTGTTCTGCAGTGTGGTGAGGAATCCCAGATGGTGATACGTGACTAGTTATTAATAAACGTAATTTACGTAGGTTTCTTCACTGTTGGTTAACATAATTCAGCTTTGAGTTATAATCGCAGTGATCAGCTCTCGAACGACAACACACTTGTTTTGTACTGCATTGTGTCCTCGCCGATTTAAATGAATGGTTTAAATGCACTATAGTTATTTTCCTTATTTTCTTTCACTTTCGCGAGGTTTTGGTCTCTCCACACAAAAAGGTTTAGTCTTTTAAAGCACATCATTGAAAAAGTATTTGATCAG